CGGCCCAAACACACAGTCCGATTCCAGCACACTGGCGGAACGAGGTGCGGGGGCAACCCCGAGGGTTGCGATCCCGTTGCCAGTCCCAGTCCGGTACGGGCGCGACACTGAGGGTTGCTATCCGTTGCCGGACACGACAAAAGAAAAAAAAAAAAAAAGAAAATAGAACTAATAATAAAACATAAGGAAAGGGCCGGCCCGTGGCTCACTCGGTAGAGTGCGGTGCTAATAACACCAAGGCCCCGGGTTCGGCTCCCACATACGGCTGGCTGGTTCGCTCACTGGTTGAATGTGGTGCTGACAACATCAAGCGAAGGGTTAAGATCCCCTTACCGGTCATCTTTAAAAAAAAAAAAAAAAAACATAAGGAAAGATGCTGAATTTTGACAAATAAAAATGATAAGGTCTTTTATCTATTAAAAATAGTCAAACAAGGGTTGGCCCGTGGCTCACTTGGGAGAGTGCGGTGCTGATAACACCAAAGCCATGGATTCGGATCTTATATAGGGATGGCTGGTTCGCTCACTGGTTGAATGTGGTGCTGACAACATCAAGCGAAGGGTTAAGATCCCCTTACCGGTCATCTTTAAAAAAAAAAAAAAAAAAAAGGCAAACGAAATAACTTGTTAAATTATAATACACTGTGCTGTCAAAGGTGCAGTGAAATGGGCAGTTCCTTGTACTATTAGTGACATTTATGTTTTATATAAGCCTTCAAGGATAAAGCTTGGCAATGTGTATCAAGGGCAATGTATTAGTCCATTTCTGTTGCTTATAACAAAATACCTGGAACTGGGTAATTTGTAAGAAAACAAAATTTATTGCTTACAGTTTTAGATGCTGGGAAACACATCTGGTGAGGTGACCCTACAGTAATGCAAGGTTTCACATGGTGAGAATGATGGAGCCAAGAGGGAGACTCTCAGGTGCTCTCCTTTTAAAGCCCTCAGAATCACACCCATGACCACCATTAATCCGTTCATTAGGGCATGGTCCTTAGAATCTAATCACCTCTTTAAGGCCCCCCTATTCAATTACCAAAATAGGATTTTCCACCCTCTTAACATTCACAGTGGGGATCAAGCCTCTAATACATAAAATTTGGGGGACACAGTTCAACCCATATCAGGCAATAAGAATGTTCATGCCCTGTGACTCACAGTAATCTCACTTCTGGAAATAGAAGGACCTAGGCCTAGCAGAAAATGTTTTTAATCCTTTCACTCTGGGTGATGAGCCCAGCACTGACTCTGCTGTGATGCTCTGCTCTAGGTGCAGGGTTGTTTCATTTATTTAGTTTAGTTTTTCTTTTTTAATCATCCCTCTTCAAGTTTCAGGATGTGTACTCACTCCCCCATCTGGTTCCCATGTGAGATCCTCATCCCCCTTTCACACACTCATGGCAGCAGCCTGGTGGAGTGACTGCTTGTGCCTCTTCACCCCTCCAAAAAGGTAGATGGACATGCCCATAGAAGGTACCTGTGAAAGAAGACTGGCGGTGGCCAAATGAATGGAGTACCGGGGGAGTGGCTGCCAGAGCAAACACGACCACAGAGTGAATGCTATTCACGTCGCTGAATTGTAAGGTCAAAAATGCTTTTCATGGTCGGGCCGGCCTGTGGCTCACTTGGGAGAGTGTGGTGCTGATAACACTAAGGCCACGGGTTCAGATTCCTATATAGGGGTGGCCGGTTAGCTCACTTTGGAGAGCTTGGTGCTGACAACACAAAGTCAAGGGTTAAGATCCCCTTACCGGTCATCTTTAAAAAAAAAAAAATGCTTCTTGTGGTAAGTTCGGTGCAATGTCTCTTTTCACTCCAGTGTAAAACAAGATCAAACACTGTCTTTGTGACAGGAGTGAGTTCCCGGCTTTGTGGCAGAGGGCATTGGCAGTGAAAACAAAAACAAGAACAAAAATATAAACAACAACAACAACAAAAAAGCCTCAAGGGTTCAGTAATTCGGAACATTGTCTTTCTCTCAAGAAATAAAAGGGAAGTCAATATAACTTGTAAATGACCGTAGGTTCTGTCATGGAAAATAAAAGGCAGGGAGAATTTTAGCCTTTAAAAGCATACCCTGATCAATTTTCAAGGCAGCAATTGCACTATGAATTATGTGTCATGCTTACTTCTTAAGTTCCCCCTACCCCTTTATGGATGTGTGTATTCATGTAGTCGCGTTAGGGCCAGAGGACAGGCTTCGCGCCGCCACCGCAGGAACTTCCGGTTGCGAAGCGCCCCGGCGCCGAGCGCATGACGTCAACCGCGTGCGACGAGGCGCCGCCGTGACGTCCTGCTCTTCCAATGACCTTCAGGTTCCGAGGCGGCGTCAGCAAGCGGAAGGCCTGTCTGCCTGGCCGTGGACTGGTCGCGTCCTGAGGCTGCCCCGCTTCCCGCTGTCCCTCTTCCCCGAAGCCGCCGCTCTCCCCGCAGAGTTTCGCTGTCTACTCGTGGAGCCGCCAGCGCTTGCCATGCCGCGTGGAAGCCGAAGCCGCACCTCCCGCATGGCGCCTCCAGCCAGGTGAGGCCGTCGCGGGGTTGGGGCCGAAGCGCGGGCGCCGTGCCGCAGAGCGGGCCTGCGGCGGGGCCGGCTTGGGTTGTGTTCAGACGGTTTGCTGGGAGTGTGGGGAAAGGCTTACTCGCGGACAGGGTTTTATAAAGTTACGGCCAGTTGATAGGAAGTTAAGTCGCAACCTTTTGACCTAGCCTAATTTGGGGGAAGAGCACTCACAAATAATCTAAAAACCGGCAGAGGGACGTGATATACGTGAAGATGTTTACAGCAGTGCTGGACATATTAGTGAGATTGTTGAAAGCAGCCAAATGTCCTACAGATGGGAGTAGTTGGAATTAATTTTTGTAATAGTTAAGAAAGTCACTTTCACTTACTAGGCTTCAGTTTTCTCCTCTTCAAAATGAAGGAGTTGGACTAGATTCTTTCCCCAGATGACCATCTCAGGTCTTAACTTAAACGTTACTGGCTCAGCGAGACCCTCCTTGATTATCCCACGATTGCGATGTCCCACAGTGTACTTCCCTTCTCCTGCTATTTCTTTCTTAACACTTAATATCGTATGACACAGTATTTTAAGTTGATCCCTCATTAGAATGTAAGCTCCATGAAGGCAGAGGTTTTTTTCTCTTGCTCACAGTTACATTCCCAGCACCTACAGCCCCTTGTACGTGGTCTTTCTAACTCAATATTCTATATTTTTTATGAGGTTTTGGAATAACCGTGCTCTTTAAAGATACTGTGGGCTATATGAATACATGGAAATGGTTGCAAAAAAGCAGGAAAAAATATAGTTGTCCCTTGGTATCTGCGGGGGATTTGTTCAGGACACTGCCCTGCCCCAGAGGATAACAAAATTCTTGGATGGTCAAGTCTCTTATATAAAGTGGTGTAGTATTTGCATAATATCTATGTATACACTCCTGTATACTTTAAATCATCTTTAGACTATTTATAATACCTAATACAATGTAAGTACTGTGTAAATAATTTTATAATGTATTTTTTTTGTCATATTGTTATTTCTTACGGTTTTTCCCTTGAATATTTTTGATATAAGTTGGTTGAAACTGCACATACGGAACCCACAGATATATGGAGGGTTGGCTGTAGTTTATGCTTGGTGATTACAACCTTAACAAATGATTCAAGAGATAAAGTAATGTAGATAGTTCATGGAGTTGTTTTTCATAAAGTTTTCTTGTACGTACTCATTTAAAGTGAGGGCTGGCTGGTTAGCTCATTGGGTAATAGCAGTGTTATAACACCAGGGTCAAGGGTTCGGATCACCATAAGGGCCACTTGCCAAAAAAAAAATATTTTTTAATTGAAAATCCTGAGGTTTATTTTAATAAACAAGTATTCTGTTTAAATATCCTTCCTTTATAAGAGTTTACAAGGGTTTTTAAAAATATTTTATTTTATTTTATTTTTTGGTGACTGTTTGGCTGGTACAGGGATCTGAACCCTTGACCTTAGTGTTATAATCAAGTGTTTTATAAGTTGACAATTTCCAAAACTGGTTGGAAGTGAGAACTTCGTACTTTGTGTTCTTCTCTTTCGTAGCCGGGCACCTCAGATGAGAACTGCACCCAGGCCAGCACCAGTGGCCCAGCCGCCAGCAGCGGTCCCACCATCTGCAGTTGGCTCACCTGCTGCTGCACCGCGGCAGCCAGGTCTGATGGCCCAGATGGCAACCACTGCAGCTGGCGTGGCTGTGGGCTCTGCTGTTGGGCACACACTGGGCCATGCCATCACTGGGGGCTTCAGTGGAGGAAATAATGCTGAGCCCTCAAGGCCTGACATCACTTACCAGGTAAGATTTTGGGCAGCATTTTCCTTCCTTGGGTGTATTTTATGAGAAAAGCTGGTTGTTTGTAAATTCCTTATGTGTAGGAACTGTTTTTAATTTTAGAATCCACAATGCTGTTAATAGAAAAAGACACATTTGGGAGATGAGTTAGTGCCTTATCCCAGCACCAGCAAATACAGTACAATTGTATTTCTTCCCAAGGTGTAGAATTGTAACAGTCCAACCTGACTCACTGTGAAACAGCCGTTTTTCCCTTTAAGGCTTTATCTTGGTGACACTTTTTACTAATCCAGTCTTGATCTTAGTTAAGTAATCAAAAGTCTCTAATAGCTCTGTGATCTCTTACCTAATATTTGCCATTACCCCTTTCTGAGGTGGGTGGATTTTCTCTTCTAATGAGCATGGGTGTGTACTCTTTGTATTTCTAGTGTACTTGAAACTCTTGTTTATCAATTTTTTTATAATAGTCCCATTTTTCCTCCATGAAGCTTCACTGAACTATTTATTCTTGAGAAGTCCAGATAACCGTTCCACCTTATTTGTATCTTTGTTCTTGAATCTTTCTGATTGCAACTGGAATTTTGTGAAAGCTCCTTTGCTTTCTGCCTTTAAACTTTTTCACTTTCCATGTTATTAGATGGAAACTTTAACTTGCATCTGGTTCTAGTTCTGTTTCCCCAATCTGAAAGACAGTGGATACTGCTCTTGGCTATGTGTAAACATAGATTTCTTAACAGTGTTGAATGTTTTCCCTTGCAGGAGCCTCAGGGAGCCCATCCAGCGCAGCAGCAGCAGTCAGAACCGTGCTTCTATGAGATAAAGCAGTTTTTGGAGTGCGCCCAGAACCAGGGTGACATTAAGCTCTGTGAGGGTTTCAGTGAGGTGCTGAAACAGTGCAGACTTGCAAATGGTAAGTGTTTTATCGAACTTACATCTGCTCAATTCAGAGTGGTATTCCTGGACCCTATAGAATTTTGGGAATCTGTGTTTAATAAATCAAGTTGACACATTAGAGGAAGTTTGGTATAAATTTCTCTAAAAATAATTTAACTCTTCTAACAGACAGTTGGTCCATAGGTTTCTAGTCATTATATTAAGCTTTTACCAATTATGTTCTGAATCTGATTCTTCCTTAAGCAGGTACGAATCAGTGTGCCAGGTCTTATTGCAGTTACTGCATGTGAGTGAGCTTCTAGCCTTAAGGCCATGACTATAAAATTACATTCCATTTTCACCAAAACGCAGGAATGGACATAAAGACTCTGATATATTATTGGCATTGCACACACCTCATTGACAGAGAAGAGTTTATTAAGTCCCTCAGTGGAACTCTTGAGATTTAGGCTTTCTGGAATGTTGGCAGTCAACTTGTTTTATGTAATTTCCTCCTGTTCAGCCTAAGAATTCACCGTCTATTAAAATGTTTCTTATCATTTTCCCACCTTCATTTAGGTAGCAAATAGGGGAGAAGTTAATCCTTTCAGGTGGTTGAACTGTGGCATTAAGAGATGGCATGTGCAAGTTTATCAGAAGTCTGTTGAAGCTACATCTAGTAACACAGTGGCTACATTTCTGCTTCAGGACTCTGTCCTTAGGAGCACATATGGCCTGTCTTTTCTCACTTGTGGCAAGTGTAGAGTTGAAGATTTGTTGGTCACAGGATGCTTTCAGTAGCTTGTAAAAGAAACCAGTAACCTTTGGCTGTTTTCCCTCCTTTCGTATTTGGAGGGCTTCTGTTTTGTTGAGTATATGTAGCTAGTGCTCTTCTAACTTGCCTTTTCTGTTTGCAGGATTAGCCTAATCAAGAAGTTCAAATTGAAGAAATGGAAAATCGACTCTCATGACCAAGTTAATTTAGCATAAACATATAATCGATAGTGCAAGTTTAAAGTGTAAAATCATAGCTAGTGCTCTTCTAACTTGCCTTTTCTGTTTGCAGGATTAGCCTAATCAAGAAGTTCAAATGGAAGAAATGGAAAATCGACTCTCATGACCAAGTTAATTTAGCATAAACATATAATCGATAGTGCAAGTTTAAAGTGTAAAATCATCAGTTAAAGCTCTTCTCTGTTATGAATAGCTTCCTTTCTTTGGAATTGCAATGGAAGAGGGTGTTCTTACTATATAGAAGTTCACTCAGATGGTACAGAATTTGAGGTTGGGAAAATGTCCTCAAACCAGCTGTGTGATATTATTGTTTATGAGTTAATTAGAATAAAGTAATTTTCTTCCAAGATGTGGTGTCTTTTATTTTTTTATTTTTTATTTTTTTTAAAGATGACTGGTAAACCTTGACTTGGTGCTGTCAGCACCAGGCTCTCCCAAGTGAGCTAACCGGCCATCCCTATATGGGATCCGAACCTGTGGCCTTGGTGCCATCAGCACCACACTCTCCCAAGTGAGCCACGGGCAGGCCCTCAAGATGTGGTGTCTTTTAAGTGTAAGGTCATAAATTGGATGTGGTATACACATGCATGCTGAAAATATGCATTTTGCAAAAAAACACTGTCTCAACATGTCTTTAAGTACATCTAGTCTATATAGTCTCTGGATTAACATCCACCTGGAGGATCCGACAGCTCCCCAAGGACTTACGTAAAGAGTAGTTCACTAGCACACATATCGCCTGTTAAAAAGGTTCCAGGTGCTCCAGGCCTGGAGTTCAGTAGACAGCAGTAACGAAACTGCTTGAAATCCTGTTTTAATCAGGTAAATGATAAAGGAAATGTAGGAATAGACCTATTACTGGGTGGGTTCCCTGTGGCCAGGTCAGCACTACATGTCACTGTTCCCCTAGTAGATCTAGTTAATTGGTGGAAGATGAAAACCATTCTTAATACAGGCATTTCTCCTGCATGTTTTCTTTTCTTTTTTTTTTTTTTCTTCCTCTTTTTGTCAGTGTTGCCCCCGTACTGGACCGGGGACCGGCAACGGGATCGCAACCCTCGGTGTCGCTCCTGCGCCTCGCTCAACCAGTGAGCGGGAACCGGTCCATAGGTGGGATCCGAACCCTCGGGCGGGAGCGCCGCCACGCTTCCCAAGCGGCACAGTATCGAGTGCGCCACCGGGCCGGCCCGAAAACCATTCTTAATACAGGCATTTCTCCTGCATGTTTTCTTTTCTTTTTTTTTTCTTCCTTCCTCTTTTTGTCTTTTTTACTGACCGGTAATGGGATCGCAACCCTTGGTGTTGCACCCGCACCGCGCTCAGCCAGTGAGCGGGAACCGGTCTCCGCATGGGACCCGAACCGTCGGCGGGAGCGCTGCCGCGCTCCCAAGCAGGTGCACTCTCCAGTGCGCCACCAGGCTGGCCCGTGCATGTTTTCTTCTAAGGTGTTGTAGCTTCCTCTTCCTGAAAGATGTGCTAGCTGCAATCACCCACTCCACGTTGGTGAAGGACTTAAGGGAGTGGGCTCAATTTGGAGCAGGTCATTTCTTTTTAAGTAAACCCCAAATATTCTCTAGGAGCTGACCTCCAGCCTAAATTTTATGCTGTGGTTTTCATACTTTCGGGAGTACCTTTCATAGTTTCCACGATCTGATTTTTCCCTCACTTTCAGAGACCATTACTGCAGGATGAGGGAGGCGCTGGTGAATGAGTGTATGTTTCGGTTGCTGCCTCCTGTCAGCTGTGTGCTTGGGGTGCCTCACTCCGCTGAACGTTCAGTTCTTGAAGGGGCCAATGCTCCCTTGCCTTGAGGACCTGAATGGACACACATAGCTCACTCCTGGTCAGCCCCCCAGCATATTCTCTACTGGGTTTATCAGTAGGTTCCTTTGCTCATTTTCCCGATGGCTCAGGACCTCTGTGAGTCTACAGTGTTCATGCCCAGGTGGCCCTTGTCCTTAAGGTGCAGTTGTGTATTCTGGGTACCCAAATATTGCTGAGTCAGAGTAAAATAAGCCACTGATGGCGCAATGCAAGAGTGGCTGACCTGGCCTCTGCCTGGAGAAGGGCACAGAATAAGCCACTAGGTGTGCTGGCCTTTTACCCTACGGTTGGGAGGGATTTGGGGATGCATTTGAAATTATACGCCAGCAAGAGCCAATAGCTTAGAATCTGAGGGAAAAAATAGGCCTAGTAACAGTAAAAGAGTTCCAAGTGTTTTCATCCTTGGACATTTGCTGTTATAATAAGTGGGAAGCCTTTATGCTTAGAGCTCATACCCTGAAGTCATTTTCAACTCCTTTCTATCTAGCAGTTCGGCGGAAGATTTCTCCAGAGTGAAAGAAATAGATGACCAGTGTGATACGGAAAGAGCACTGGCTCCCATGACATATGGGATAGTCTAGGCTGTCCTACTGACCTGTTTGGTGACCTAGAGCAAGTCACATTCTCTCTAATATGTGTCTAATGCCAGAGTTCTGGGATCCAAGTGAGATTGTGTGAGAAATGCTTTGTAAAATGCTAATCAAATAGCTATTTGTGGGCTCATCTCCTATAAATGCCACTGTGTTACCCATCCCCCCTCAATTTGGAATATTAGAATTGGGTTTGGAAAAAAGTAGCTTCGGGGGAACAATAAAGAATGAGTGTGTGCTGTGTGCTGATGTATTGCATATGCTATTTCCAATTCTGTCAACCCCTTAAGGTAGAATCATATTGATGAGGACCCTGCCCCAAGTCGCACCCAGTTAGGGCCCATGTGCTTGTCCTAACTCCTCCCAATAGAAACTGCAGGCTGAAAATAAAACGGGTTAAGGAATGTTCTTTAGATGTAATTATGGAGGGCGGATCAGAGGTGGATTCCCGAAAGGGAAGTTCCCTAGCTTTTAAGGTCTGCATTATGTAGGGCAACCACACAAACTGTTTCTGAGTGGGGCTGGATGTCTGGGCCCCTGTGACAGGCAGGACTGTGGCATGGGCAGGCCAGCTGCAGCCATCCTGTGCTGAGGTTCTCCAGGGCCTGCTCTCAGCATGCATGGGAATCTCTTCCAGAAAAGTGAGTGTGTTCCTCACAGACTGGCCTCATCTCCTCTGGGTCTGAGGCTAAGAGAGCTCCAGAGGGAGGACTGGTCACCTTGTGCTGTCCTGCCTGGTCCCAGGCCACCCACGTTTCCTTCACCCTCCGCCAGAGGTCACCCCTGGTGAGACTTGGCCCTGTGTCCCGTCCCTGCTGAGCCTTGGCCTGCAACCCAGGTTGCAGTTGTGATTTATTTTTGGCATGTCAGCCTTCGGTCATCAAGTAGCGAAACCCAAAAGAAGAGCAGCAAGATATCTTCCTGTGGCCACAAGTGTCTGCTTGGGACACAGCTTCAGCACTCTGTTGTCTCCTCTCCCCCAGGGGCTCTGGGACCTTTGGGATTCTTGTCAAGGTTCTTCAAGAGCCTGCAAGGACGTAACGGTGAGTAGCCAGGCCAGTGACGGACAAAAGCCAGGTGGCAGGCGGGGAGATAGACTGGCTGTGGGGTGGGGGAAGACAGAAACCCCCAAATCCTTAGACCCATCTCTCTTTCCTTCTGAAGGCAGATGGACCCGGGAGAGTGGTACACTGGCTCTTGAAATCCCTCCTCTGGGGATGTTTTCTACAGAGTAGGTCCCTGTGTCTACGGCCATACCACCCTGAATGCGCCCAATCTCATCAGAGTAGGTCCCTGTGGCTGTATTTTTGGACTCTCAGAGTTTGAAAGAGGGATGTTATGTTCCAGAAAGGACCAGGCCACCTACTCCCATTTGGGGACCCTATCCAAAGGAGTCTTGGGGAAGGTGTGAGGGGCGGTGGGGCAGCGGACAGTCAAGCCTCAGAGCAGGGGGATGGGGCAAGATAAACACCCCCACACCCAGGAGTGCAGCCAGAGCTTGGCCAAGCTGGTTGTGCCAGGGAATGGAGCCCCTGGCCCAGGACAGATTCCTGGGGTGGGTCCAGATACACCCTCTACCCACTGAGGGCTGGGGGAAGGGAGGGACCTGGGGCTGCCCAGCACTTGCCAGGAAATGGGCTTATTTTTGCGGCAAACAGACACTCCTGGGCTTGGTTGGTTGCTGACAGGGCAGAGGAGGCCTGTGAGCAGCCACGCACCTGCTATTGGTGGAGGAAACTTGTTATTCTAAACCTTTGTCTTGTAACCAGGCACCCAGTGGTGGGGACAGTGGCTTCCTGGAACAGTCAGCCTGAGCCCTGAGGCAGCCAGGGCTGCTGCTTGGTTGGTCAGCACTTTGGCCTCTTTGAGAAGCCAGGCCCAGAGGGGTGGGGGAGTGGGGCTGGAGGCAGCTTTTTCTCTGCTGAGCCTGAGCCTGAGACTGAGCACTTCCTGTTGGTAGATGGTTTTCTGCATTCCTCAAATGCACCCAAGGCAGCTCAGCTCCCTAGTGGGAGCTGTGTCCCTGAAGCAGGCAAGCCAGCTCAGCTCCTCTGTGTCCAGGCCTGAGGGCCCTGGCTCTGTACTGCCCACACTGCGGCAGGACCTCTCAAGGCTCCTTGGCCATTGTTAGGTAGGTCTTGGGGCCTTCTGCTGGCAGGAGCCTGGACCACGGGGAGCCACGCCTGCTTCATGCCTGCACAGGGCACTGAGGGCAGAGACAGCCCGGACATCCTAGAGAGGATCACAGTCTAGTGGGGGGAATGACAGCACGCACTGACAAGTGATACTGGAGGCTGGGACCAGGCCTCACCTCCCAGCTCTGCACCCTCAGAGCACCTGGCATGGTGCTTGGCAAAGAGTTGGTGTTTGGTGCCTGCAGGAGGAAGGACTGAATGAGCAAGGGATTATGAAAGACCTAGTTGTGGACAGCATGGGAGACGAAGCAGCAGTGGGGGACAGCGGGATGTGTGTCTGGAGGGAGGGGCCAGCTGGGACCCTCCCGACAAGGGTAGATGAGGAGAAGCCCTAGGAGTGCCATACGAAGATGAAATCATGAAGATTCTTTTTTTTTTTTTTCTTTTTTGTGACCAGTAAGGGGATAGCAACCCTTGGCTTGGTGTTGGCCACACCACGCTCAGCCAGTGAGTGCACCGGTCATCCCCATATAGGATCTGAACCCGCGGCGAGAGCGCCACTGCGCTCCCAGCGCTGCACTCTCCTGAGTGAGCCACGGGGTCGGCCCGAAAACATGAAGCTTCTCATCTTTTCCCCAAGTACAGAGAGCAGAGGAAAAGCAGGACCAGCCTCCTCTCCTCAGAGAGGGAGGGAGAAGCTGCTCTTTAATATGCCCTGAGGTTTCTTTGAGGTTCTTTTTTTTTTTTTTGTCTTTTTTTTTGTGACCGGCTGCACCGCGCTCAGCCAGTGAGCGCACCGGCCATCCCTATATAGGATCCGAACCCGTGGTGGGAGCGCTACTGCACTCCCAGCGCCGCACTCTCCCGAGTGCGCCACGGGGTCGGCCCTTCAGGTTCTTTCTAAAATCAAGGGTGTGTTGGCCTTGTCAGAGCTCCCCTTGAGGCCTGATCTCCTGCCTCTAGCCTGGGCCTGGACCTGGGCCTGGGCGACCATCTGCTGCCCCACCTGGGACTGTAAGGAGCCCCAGGGTCTCCTGGGGGTGACAAGAGCATCCAGCCAATGGAAGCAGCCAGCCAGCTCCTTCCAAAGCTCCAGGCAGGGATGTAGAGGAGTGTCCAGAGGGAAGATGCTCATCACCAGGGCCAGAAAGGGTTAGGAAGCCAAAGTTGGCTGCATGTTTTCAGTTGACACTTATTCTGAACATTCATTATGGGCTAGTCCTGGGCCCAGACGTAAAGATGTGCAAGAAACAGTCCCAGCCCTCACAGAGCACAGCCCCGGGTTGGCTGCATGTTTTCAGTTGACACTTATTCTGAACATTCATTATGGGCTAGTCCTGGGCCAGGAGACGTAAAGATGTGCAAGAAACAGTCCCAGCCCTCACAGAGCACAGCCCCGTGCCAGGAGGGCTGACGGCCTCTTTCTGCTCCTCTCTCAGTGCCCCTTGGAATCACCCCCGAGGAGCTGAGCATGACCCGGGACGAAGCGCTGCCAGACTCTCTTTCCGCACAGGGCTTCTATGAGAATTATGAGCCCAAGGAGATCCTGGGCAGGTAAGGCCCAGACGTTTCCCATGAGGTGCTGTCCTAGGCTCCGTCAGGCTCTGCAGACTGGAGTGATCTATTTGACCCCGAGCACTAACCCCATTTCTACCCCCAAAGCACTGTCTACCTGAGAATCCATCGGTTTGCGATCCTGCCCTCCTGAATTCAAGACAGATAAAAGGGGTAGAAGAGATCAGAGACCTCTCCCAACAAAAAGTTCCCCGGTGCTGTTGACAAACACATGCAAACCCTGCTTTGGGACAGGATCAGGGCTCAGGGCTCAGAGGAAATGTCAGGGCCCTAAGAGTTTGCCGCTTCTTTCTATGTGCTGAGAAAGAGCATGGGCTGAGGTCAGGAGGTCTGAGACCAGGCTTGCTATCCTTGGCTCTGGGCAGATCACCCCTTTGTGCCTTTATTTCTTCATCCTGCCGTCCCCCAAAGCCCACAGTGTTTGGGGAGAATGCAAATCCCCAGGCGAGAGCAGAGCGTCTCTGCTGTGGCCTGGACTGGGACTCCCCTGAGGTGAGGGCCCCAAGGCCGCCTGTCCTCTGTGCCCCCAGAGGAGTCAGCAGCGTGGTCAGGCGCTGCATCCACAAGCCCACGCTCCAGGAGTACGCTGTGAAGGTCATCGATGTCACCGGGGGAGGCAGCTTCAGTGCCGAGGAGGTGCGGGAGCTGCGAGAAGCCACGCTGAAGGAGGTGGACATCCTGCGCAAGGTCTCGGGGCACCCCAACATCAGTGAGTGAGGGCCCCAAGCTGCAGCATCAAGTGCCACCACCATTCTGTCCTGATAACCCCCATCAGGGAGTGCAGCCCCAGTGCGCAGCCAGCTAGAACCCTCCAGTGTCCCCACCTTTACCCTCACTGCTGCCACAGAAGGGGTCGCAGGCAGGGCTGGGGACGGTGCAGGTGGGGGAGTGGAGTTTGAAGTCCCTGGGCCTGGCCACCCCCAGCTGACCTCTGAGCACCACCCTAATCCCTGCGTCAGCTTTTAACATCAGCCCACAGCAGCCTTAATCCCCTTGCCCCTGTCTGGCTCCCCTGCCACCTGAGATGAGCTAGCCATTTCCATTTCAGTACAGCTGAAGGACACTTATGAGACCAACACTTTCTTCTTCTTGGTGTTTGACCTGTAAGTACCCAGCCCTGCAACCAGCCACACTCAGGCCTATGGGAGAGCCTCCTGCTGTGGTCTCCACCCAGCGCTGTCTGGAGACCAGCAGCCAGCCCCCTATGCTGCAGACCACATAGGATCACAGACTCTTTAGGCAGATCAGCCCCTGGGGTCGGTCTGCCAGGCATCGAAACCCGGGTACACCACCTACCAGCTGGATCATTTCTTTAAGTATCAGTTTTCTCACTGGTATTATGGGAGTAATAACGGCACAGTGACTTGCGCAACATAAGCGCTATTAACTGCAATGACAATGACGATGGGAGTAACTCAACATTTATTCTAGGCACCGATACAGAAATGAACAAGACAGGCAAGGTCTCTGACTGGCAGCATGGACATGTACACATACAAACACGTGCAGCAGAACCAGGGACTAGAGAGGGATGAGGGCTTCCCTAGACAGCGTGGTCAGGGAGGGCTCTGGGAGGTGACCTGAGCAGAACCCTGCAAAAGGAGCTTCCAGCAAAGGGAAGAGCCAGCACATTCGAGGAGAAGTGGGGAAGTCGGAGTGGGATAGTGGAGCTGGCTGTGGGGAGGTGGAGGATGCGAGTTTGGTCAGTGCCAAGGGCCAGATTCTGTGGACATTTAGCCATGGGAGTGGGAAAAGGGAGGCCCGCGGTATGGGGGGCGCAGGTGGCAGAGTGTGGCTTGAAGACCTGGGTCAGCGTCGCTCCCACTTCTGCACCAGCAGGAGTGAGATGCGCTTTTCCTCACTAAGCATCAAATGGGACCACCACCAGGTGCTCTGTGAACTGTGTATTCAAGACATTTCATAATTTTTATTAAGAAAGTCTCCCAGGGAAGGAAACTCTCCAGCTCATTGTCGCCCCCTCCACTGATTTCTCACTGCAAAGCATGAATCTTCTACAACATGAATCGTTGTTGTAGTAACGGCTAATTTAGGAACTGGATTTACTTGAGAAAATTATTCAAGTAGATTTTGTGCTGTAGGAGCATCTCATGTTGTAGCTATACCGAGTACGTGCACACAGTCACCCGCCAGCTGCAGGAAGGCAGGGGCTGCGGATGGGCCTTGCACGGTCCGTGTTCTCTTAAATCTTGGTTGCTGCCGGGGCCAATAGTGAGTTCTCCTAGCGTCTTACAACAGAATTAAAATGATAAAAACTGAATTCACACATTGCCTTTTAGGAACATAGGACAGATACTGTATAAACAAGGCTACCTCCGTAAAGTCTAGGTCGTCTCTTCAAACAGACCCCTCACCACCCTAGCAACCCAACCCAGACGTTTTCTTGCCTCCCGAGGATGCTGGCCAAGGCACTTGTTCTTTGCCCTGGAAATTCCACTGCTTTTCCTGGAGGGGTGGTGGGCGGGGGCAGGGTGTACCGTTTCCTGTGTATCCGAGGGAGACTTTCCTAGGACCCCTCCAGACGAGCCCTGCTGCAGCTGTCCCAGCTCACTGGCACTATCTTGTGCAGCCTCGGGACAGCTCAAGTGTCTTTAACCTTTGAAGAAGTTGCTTGGGGAAGCTATTTTTAATGCTGCCTCCAGGAGCCCTCCAGGGTATGACTAAATTGTTCTCAGCAGAGACCTCTTTCTAGTTCATACCAAGAGGTAAGAAGATGGAACCGCAGTTCTTAATCCTAAGACAGGCAAACTCTGCTCCTCTCACACTTGCACTGCTGATTCCTTCCTTTTGTTCCCTGGGAAAGATCAGGATACTTGTATCCTTGACCTGGTCTGGATACGTTCATACCAAGAGGTAAGAAGATGGAACCGCAGTTCTTAATCCTAAGACAGGCAAACTCTGTTCCTCTCACACTTGCACTGCTGGTTCCTTCCTTTTGTTCCCTGGGAAAGATCAGGATACTTTTATCCTTGATCTGGTCTGGATATCCCTGATCTGGTCTCTCTTTCAACCCCATCCCCCCAATCCCCCAGCCCTGATAAGATCCCAGTCCATGATGTCACTTCTACAGTCGGGGGCCACACTGGTGCAGACTGGTGCACGCCTCACCTCTCCACCCTCTCTCTCCTTCCAGTTCTTCCCAGACACCTCTAGTCGCTTCCCCAGTTCCTCCCGCAGACCTCGGCCCTTCACGGGGAGCAGCTTCAGAGGCATTAGGGTGGGAGGCATAGCTCTCCGGGGCCAGGATAAGGAGGGAGTGGTCCTGTTCCCACAGGATGAAGAGGGGGGAGCTCTTTGACTACCTCACTGAGAAGGTCGCCTTGAGCGAGAAGGAAACCAGGNCCTTCTTATTTAATAATCTTTTCTTCCTCTTGTGACTTATTTTGTGATATCCAGAAAGAATTTGGTTCTATCTGCATGCCATTTTATGGCATTTCTTTTTGCAAGTTAGTTTCAAGATAAAGTAGTTTTATTTTCAGATTTTATTATTATTATTATTTTTTGTCTTTTTCGTGACCCGCGCTCAGCCAGTGAGCGCACCGGCCATCCCTATATAGGATCCGAACCCGTGGTGGGAGCGCTACTGCACTCCCAGCGCCGCACTCTCCCGAGTGCGCCACGGGGTCGGCCCTTCAGGTTCTTTCTAAAATCAAGGGTGTGTTGGCCTTGTCAGAGCTCCCCTTGAGGCCTGATCTCCTGCCTCTAGCCTGGGCCTGGACCTGGGCCTGGGCGACCATCTGCTGCCCCACCTGGGACTGTAAGGAGCCCCAGGGTCTCCTGGGGGTGACAAGAGCATCCAGCCAATGGAAGCAGCCAGCCAGCTCCTTCCAAAGCTCCAGGCAGGGATGTAGAGGAGTGTCCAGAGGGAAGATGCTCATCACCAGGGCCAGAAAGGGTTAGGAAGCCAAAGTTGGCTGCATGTTTTCAGTTGACACTTATTCTGAACATTCATTATGGGCTAGTCCTGGGCCAGGAGACGTAAAGATGTGCAAGAAACAGTCCCAGCCCTCACAGAGCACAGCCCCGTGCCAGGAGGGCTGACGGCCTCTTTCTGCTCCTCTCTCAGTGCCCCTTGGAATCACCCCCGAGGAGCTGAGCATGACCCGGGACGAAGCGCTGCCAGACTCTCTTTCCGCACAGGGCTTCTATGAGAATTATGAGCCCAAGGAGATCCTGGGCAGGTAAGGCCCAGACGTTTCCCATGAGGTGCTGTCCTAGGCTCCGTCAGGCTCTGCAGACTGGAGTGATCTATTTGACCCCGAGCACTAACCCCATTTCTACCCCCAAAGCACTGTCTACCTGAGAATCCATCGGTTTGCGATCCTGCCCTCCTGAATTCAAGACAGATAAAAGGGGTAGAAGAGATCAGAGACCTCTCCCAACAAAAAGTTCCCCGGTGCTGTTGACAAACACATGCAAACCCTGCTTTGGGACAGGATCAGGGCTCAGGGCTCAGAGGAAATGTCAGGGCCCTAAGAGTTTGCCGCTTCTTTCTATGTGCTGAGAAAGAGCATGGGCTGAGGTCAGGAGGTCTGAGACCAGGCTTGCTATCCTTGGCTCTGGGCAGATCACCCCTTTGTGCCTTTATTTCTTCATCCTGCCGTCCCCCAAAGCCCACAGTGTTTGGGGAGAATGCAAATCCCCAGGCGAGAGCAGAGCGTCTCTGCTGTGGCCTGGACTGGGACTCCCCTGAGGTGAGGGCCCCAAGGCCGCCTGTCCTCTGTGCCCCCAGAGGAGTCAGCAGCGTGGTCAGGCGCTGCATCCACAAGCCCACGCTCCAGGAGTACGCTGTGAAGGTCATCGATGTCACCGGGGGAGGCAGCTTCAGTGCCGAGGAGGTGCGGGAGCTGCGAGAAGCCACGCTGAAGGAGGTGGACATCCTGCGCAAGGTCTCGGGGCACCCCAACATCAGTGAGTGAGGGCCCCAAGCTGCAGCATCAAGTGCCACCACCATTCTGTCCTGATAACCCCCATCAGGGAGTGCAGCCCCAGTGCGCAGCCAGCTAGAACCCTCCAGTGTCCCCACCTTTACCCTCACTGCTGCCACAGAAGGGGTCGCAGGCAGGGCTGGGGACGGTGCAGGTGGGGGAGTGGAGTTTGAAGTCCCTGGGCCTGGCCACCCCCAGCTGACCTCTGAGCACCACCCTAATCCCTGCGTCAGCTTTTAACATCAGCCCACAGCAGCCTTAATCCCCTTGCCCCTGTCTGGCTCCCCTGCCACCTGAGATGAGCTAGCCATTTCCATTTCAGTACAGCTGAAGGACACTTATGAGACCAACACTTTCTTCTTCTTGGTGTTTGACCTGTAAGTACCCAGCCCTGCAACCAGCCACACTCAGGCCTATGGGAGAGCCTCCTGCTGTGGTCTCCACCCAGCGCTGTCTGGAGACCAGCAGCCAGCCCCCTATGCTGCAGACCACATAGGATCACAGACTCTTTAGGCAGATCAGCCCCTGGGGTCGGTCTGCCAGGCATCGAAACCCGGGTACACCACCTACCAGCTGGATCATTTCTTTAAGTATCAGTTTTCTCACTGGTATTATGGGAGTAATAACGGCACAGTGACTTGCGCAACATAAGCGCTATTAACTGCAATGACAATGACGATGGGAGTAACTCAACATTTATTCTAGGCACCGATACAGAAATGAACAAGACAGGCAAGGTCTCTGACTGGCAGCATGGACATGTACACATACAAACACGTGCAGCAGAACCAGGGACTAGAGAGGGATGAGGGCTTCCCTAGACAGCGTGGTCAGGGAGGGCTCTGGGAGGTGACCTGAGCAGAACCCTGCAAAAGGAGCTTCCAGCAAAGGGAAGAGCCAGCACATTCGAGGAGAAGTGGGGAAGTCGGAGTGGGATAGTGGAGCTGGCTGTGGGGAGGTGGAGGATGCGAGTTTGGTCAGTGCCAAGGGCCAGATTCTGTGGACATTTAGCCATGGGAGTGGGAAAAGGGAGGCCCGCGGTATGGGGGGCGCAGGTGGCAGAGTGTGGCTTGAAGACCTGGGTCAGCGTCGCTCCCACTTCTGCACCAGCAGGAGTGAGATGCGCTTTTCCTCACTAAGCATCAAATGGGACCACCACCAGGTGCTCTGTGAACTGTGTATTCAAGACATTTCATAATTTTTATTAAGAAAGTCTCCCAGGGAAGGAAACTCTCCAGCTCATTGTCGCCCCCTCCACTGATTTCTCACTGCAAAGCATGAATCTTCTACAACATGAATCGTTGTTGTAGTAACGGCTAATTTAGGAACTGGATTTACTTGAGAAAATTATTCAAGTAGATTTTGTGCTGTAGGAGCATCTCATGTTGTAGCTATACCGAGTACGTGCACACAGTCACCCGCCAGCTGCAGGAAGGCAGGGGCTGCGGATGGGCCTTGCACGGTCCGTGTTCTCTTAAATCTTGGTTGCTGCCGGGGCCAATAGTGAGTTCTCCTAGCGTCTTACAACAGAATTAAAATGATAAAAACTGAATTCACACATTGCCTTTTAGGAACATAGGACAGATACTGTATAAACAAGGCTACCTCCGTAAAGTCTAGGTCGTCTCTTCAAACAGACCCCTCACCACCCTAGCAACCCAACCCAGACGTTTTCTTGCCTCCCGAGGATGCTGGCCAAGGCACTTGTTCTTTGCCCTGGAAATTCCACTGCTTTTCCTGGAGGGGTGGTGGGCGGGGGCAGGGTGTACCGTTTCCTGTGTATCCGAGGGAGACTTTCCTAGGACCCCTCCAGACGAGCCCTGCTGCAGCTGTCCCAGCTCACTGGCACTATCTTGTGCAGCCTCGGGACAGCTCAAGTGTCTTTAACCTTTGAAGAAGTTGCTTGGGGAAGCTATTTTTAATGCTGCCTCCAGGAGCCCTCCAGGGTATGACTAAATTGTTCTCAGCAGAGACCTCTTTCTAGTTCATACCAAGAGGTAAGAAGATGGAACCGCAGTTCTTAATCCTAAGACAGGCAAACTCTGTTCCTCTCACACTTGCACTGCTGGTTCCTTCCTTTTGTTCCCTGGGAAAGATCAGGATACTTTTATCCTTGATCTGGTCTGGATATCCCTGATCTGGTCTCTCTTTCAACCCCATCCCCCCAATCCCCCAGCCCTGATAAGATCCCAGTCCATGATGTCACTTCTACAGTCGGGGGCCACACTGGTGCAGACTGGTGCACGCCTCACCTCTCCACCCTCTCTCTCCTTCCAGTTCTTCCCAGACACCTCTAGTCGCTTCCCCAGTTCCTCCCGCAGACCTCGGCCCTTCACGGGGAGCAGCTTCAGAGGCATTAGGGTGGGAGGCGTAGCTCTCCGGGGCCAGGATAAGGAGGGAGTGGTCCTGTTCCCACAGGATGAAGAGGGGGGAGCTCTTTGACTACCTCACTGAAAAGGTCACCTTGAGCGAGAAGGAAACCAGGTGAGGGTCCACATGCCCCTCTCTCCACTCCTTTCCCCAATTCCTAGTGCCACAGGTGCTGAGGTCTCAGAGGAGGCACTAGTGCATCTGTCTGGGTGGGCTTCAGTGAGTGGCCTCTCCCCATCCTTGGCTCAATCTGGATGGCTCCTCCTGCTCTGAGTCCTCCCTCACGTGCAGTGTGGCTGGTGTGTGGGCTTTGGTCTCCCTGCCTGTTACCCGACCCCTCACAGAGCAGAAGAGTAGCATGTGTCTGCCCCACCCTAGAAAGATCATGAGAGCCCTGCTGGAGGTGATCTGCACCTTGCACAAACTCAACATTGTGCACCGGGATCTGAAGCCCGAGAACATCCTCCTGGATGACAACATGAACATCAAGCTCACAGACTTTGGCTTTTCCTGCCAGCTGGAGCCAGGAGAGAGGCTGCGAGGTCTGGTAGCATGGCCTTGGCCCATGTCAGGGGGTCAGGCTGTCTCATCAATTCTCCCAGGAACAGAGATTGTGTGGGTTTCTCCCGTTTCCCAAAGAATAAAAATCTTACCATTTCAGGGGCCAGGTGTCTCTTCCCAGCACTAAGCTGAAGCAGGTTCCCATTGCCCAAGTTCCAGGCGAGAAGTGACCAGGAACCAGTGGGCACCAAGCTCATCAGCTTGGCCCTGTGAACCCGTACCCTGCCCTGCCCTTGGCCCTGAAGCTGGCCAGCGTTAGGAGAGTCCCAGCCCAAAGGCCACACCTGTTCCATCTCCACTGTGTCTTTGGACTTCCTCTTCTGAGTGTCCCCTGCTGACTGTCCTGATGGTAACCACTCCTGCAGAGATCTGCGGGACCCCCAGTTACCTGGCCCCTGAGATCATTGAGTGCTCCATGAACGACGACCACCCAGGCTATGGGAAGGAGGTGGACATGTGAGTGCAGGTGGAGGTGCCCCCACGGCGGGGCTCCAGGCTGGGCAGGGGAGGAAGCAGCGGCAGCCACGTTGGTGGTGAGGTAAGCGGCCCCGTGCGCCCAGGTGGAGCACTGGGGTCATCATGTACACCCTCCTGGCCGGCTCCCCGCCCTTCTGGCACCGCAAGCAGATGCTGATGCTGAGGATGATCATGAGCGGCAACTACCAGTTCGGCTCACCCGAGTGGGACGATTACTCGGACACCGTGAAGGACCTGGTGAGCTCCCGGGCTCGGGCAGGGGAGGCGCTGGGGGTGGCCCAGCCTCACGCGCCCCCTCGCGCAGGTGTCCCGCTTCCTGGTGGTGTCGCCGCAGGGCCGCTGCACGGCGGAGGAGGCGCTGGCGCACCCCTTCTTCCAGCAGTACGCGGTGGAGGAGGTGCGCCACTTCAGCCCCCGCGGCAAGTTCAAGGTACCGCGCGCCTCGGGCCCCTCCGCTCCCCCGGGGTCCTCACACCCCGGGCGCCTCCAGAGCACCTGCCTCCCCGCGCAGGTGATCGCGCTGACCGTGCTGGCCTCGGTGCGCATCTACTACCAGTACCGCCGCGTGAAGCCCGTGACCCGCGACATCGTCATCCGCGACCCGTACGCGCTG